GCTCTAACCTCAAGCGGCAGATCTCTCCCTTCCCCTCGCCTACTCCTTCATCTCCTGGGGTTTCTGCTTCGTGACCCCATGGCATTTCAAACACATCGTCGGATCGGTACATTCACCTGGGTCAAAAGCGCCTCTGAGAACGGCCCCACCCTCCCTCCCGTCACCGAGACTTGGACATCCGCCTCTATCTGTGGTTTCACCTTCCAGACCATCGCGCTCCACCCGTTTCTGTTCACACCCGGCTTTCCTCACAGCCTGGCTCACCTCCTTCCCTCCTGTTGCCACCTGGTTTCCGAGTGTCTTCTAGACCATGACAAAAGGCTTTCTCCACATACCCTGCTCCCAGCCTCCCGTCGTCCTAGGAGGGTCATCCCTGAAACGCTCCTGTCCCTTCCTGCTCCGCGTGAGCGTTGACCTCAGAAGCAGGAGAGAGGATGACCCGCACGCTGCCCTCCGGCTCCTCCAGGGTGAGGAGTGCTCCTCGGTGCCTCCCCGCAGTCGCCCTGGCTCTGAGTGGCTATTGAGCACTGGAGGTGTAATTCCCACTCCATTTCCTCACAGCGAATCCCAGTGCGACTAGCTGTGTGTACGCACTAGGCCTGCACTGGGACGCCAGCCCTGCTACTCCGTGAGTCTCCCAGGTGACGCTGCCAGCCCTCCCCTGTGTTCTAACCCCTTCAGGGTCCAATAGACCGGACCGCGGAGGAGACACCTCAGGGTTGGGATGTGTCGCCGCGTCCAGGAAGCCTCCCAGCTTTTCCTCTCTAACCTGAGACAGAAAGGATGGCCACCTTCTCTGAGGCACCAAAGCATTTAGCAAGGCATATCCATTCTGCTCTGTGTGTTTATATTTATGTGTCTTGACGTGTTAGATTGTAAATTCCTCAAGGGCCAGAATGATGTGTTTAATTCAAAAAGCTTTTTGGGGGACCAGAAGATGGCGTGGCGGTTACATCGCTGGACTCTCACATGGCTGACCACGGTTCGAGTCCTGGACTCGATGGCTTGAAGAATCTCGCTGGGTATGTGTGCATGCCCAAAGTCCTGAGAGGATAATGGAGAAGGGATTGCAGCACGGCCAATATCCCTGGGGGTGATTTCTCACTTTCCTTCTCAACAAAGTTTTTGCAGGTGCCTACCACCTCCTGGGCAGTGGGCACATGGAGAATGGAGGCGGTGAGGCCTCACCCTGCCAGGGATCATGCAGGTGCACAGACAGGGTACTCACTGCAGAATACATGATCAGTCTCCTGTGGTTTGGTGGCTGAGTCGCACTCTTCATGTGATTGAGGATTTCTTTGACCAGGACACCTTAAGGGAGAGAGACAGACGGTGAAGCTAACCCAGGCAGACCTGTATTAGAATTTAAAATTTGTGTGAATTCAATGGGGACTCTGCCTGCCGTGAGCCGAGAAGAGAGGCAGAGGCCCAAGTTTGGCTTTGCATCTCCTGGGTGAGAGGTGGTGTGGGTCACACACACTATTTTCCTTGCTCCCAAGTCTTACTCTTCATTAATAGCGAGGAAGCCGAAGCCCAGAAACTTTAAGTGACTAATTTTCCACCCTGAAACCAAGTGACGGAACACAAGTTCCGAGAAGGTCGAAGACCTGGCAACCTCCAATGAGCCCGCAGTGCTCTTGGTCACCAGCAGTGCCTCTTTCAGGGCGCCTCCTGCTTGCCCACCATGCCTCCCAGCAAGGGCGTAGCTGACACATCTCTGATGCCTTGCCAGATCTGAACAGGGGCTGAACTTGTGTTTTGCACCATGTAGGAAGCAAGCCTGACTTAACACTGAACTGGACCTCCTCCAGAAAGTAGGACAGGAGGGTCCGTGCGAGCACCAGCCTTCAGAATCCAAGACTGGAGAACCTCTGCGGGAAGGACACCTACAGACAGAGCCGCCTAATCCCCTCATCGGAGGGGCAAACGGGGCCCAGAGAGGGCAGTGGCTCCCCTAAGTGTAATCTCCTAGTGGCCGAAAGAAGAGAGGGAACTGAGCGGACTGACAGAATCAGCCCCATTTCTTACTCAGTATACACATTCCTCATCTGCTGTTGAGCTATCATCAACTCGTGTCTAGGGATGTCCCCAAAATGCAGATTCTGAGTCAGCTGGCTGGTTCATGTCTAATCTGCTGCCAGGCGTGGCCGATGCTGAGGGTGGAAAGCAGGCTGAGTGGTGAGGGCTGGACGCCCGACTCCACCAGGACCAGGCTGCAGGAGATGGATCAGGGTCCCCTCTCTGCCCTGAGTCCTGTGCTGGCACCTGTCGGCCAGCAATGTCAGTGTTCAACGTGGCAGCCTCTGTATCTTTGTTGCTAATATAAATTGAGCTTCTTGGGGCTAGCAGGTGGAGTGATGGTTAAGGCACTGGACTCCCACCTGGCTGACAGCAGTTCGAGTCCCAGATCTGGTGGCTTGCTTTTTCACTCCTCACCCCTCCCCGCCCACTCTCCCTGATGACTGTAGGTGCCCTATAGCAAATTAAAAATAAATAAATAAAATAAATAATTTTTAAAATAGGAAGTTTGAGTTTCTTTCCAGGATTTAGCCCTACACTGTCTGTACCCTGCCTGGTAATGTTTTGTTACGGGCTGGGTCTTACTGTTTATGCCGTTAATGAGGACTAAGGACATCGTGTTTCTCCCGGGTCTGTCTCAGTGCCACGCAGGCAGGACCTCTGTAACAGCAGACCCGCAGTGACCCGTGCCCTAATGGCCACTGTTCTCCGTTATCTGCCCCATCCTACTTTGCTCAGCTCACATCGGGTTGCTCCTGGACACCTGGTCTCACACCTCATTAGCTGTTCCAGCCACAGCTTGCCTCACTCCATACCTGCCTGGCAGCCCTGCCTTTCTGCCTGTAAGTGACTCCTCTTCTCGCCGATGACCTGAACCCTCTCAGGTCTAGCTCACAAAGCACTCTGCTTCACCTCGTTGTCTTGGGCTCTCAGGGACTTGCCCTGACCCTGAGCTGAACAGTGTCTGGCAATGGCTGGAATCTTGATGCAGCTGGACTAGTCTCAAAACATTTAGGATTTACGAGAACATAATGCGCGTGGTCTTTCTCCCCATCCTTAAGTCGAGTGCCTGCATGCCTGTACTAACTGCTTCTGCACTTGAACCCAGCTGGGTGCCGTGGCCTGCCCTCCCCGCCCTCAGGCCCGCACCTGTCTCCACTGCCTGGTCCGGTCCCGCCTACCTCTCCTGATGAGGGTCAGACCCTGCTGCCTGAGGCCACCTTTGTCATCTAGAAGGGCCAGTCCTAACCATGAACAGGCATCACCACAAAATACTAAATTGAACACTTTCAACACCGGCAGGGACAATGCAAGCCATGCCATAAACATGTCGGCAGCAGGGTGTACCGGTTTACCATGCGTGACAAGCCTCCAGGGCCTATTTGATCATGAGTTTTAACATGGCTGCCTTCCAGGATTTCAGGGCAACAGCCACATTGGTCACACTGTCCACCTGAAAAACACATCCTGTAGGTCACTAGGTACAACTGACTTCCACTGGACTCAGGCACAAACCCTCGACTCTGATCTGTAAGGCTGCACCAAACAGTTTTCTCTTGAGCTGCCACTTTCCAGATGGAGAAAGTAGGGCGAGGGTGGGAACTAGTGCCGCCCACATAGCACACACGTGTTGACGGCATGTGACACAGCAGGTACTGTTTGTCCTAAGTCTTTTGAATCATACGTTCACTACAATCCCACTCTACACAGTGGGTACGATCGTTGCCCCCTCTGTGCAGCATGGAAACTTACACAAGGATAATTAAGTGACCCGGACTTAGCACACAGCTGGTGAATGGTAGGATTGGAACTCGGACCCAGATTCATCTCGCCCAAACTCAATATGCCTCTCTCTCTTTAAAATACTTACCCCCCTGGAGTCTACTTTTCTCTTTCTGCTTGTGAACGCCAAAGAGGGACAGGAGGGACAACTCAGACAGTTCTTTCAATTTAGTCATTGCGTCCTCAGTCGCCCAGGAAGGCAGAGTGAAATTGTGAATGCCCTGCAGGAAGGAAAGGGAGAAAAGGTGTGTGCATCTTTATTTAGGATCATGCTCCTCACTGATTTTATATATATACATATATATATAATAGATATGTATGAGAGACAGAGAGACAGAGACAGAGAGAGAGAGAGACTGAGCGTAAGACAGTGGGAAGGTTAGAAAGCTCCGTGGAGGGGATGGCCATGTGCAGTCCTTCCTTTCTGGATTGTGGGCATGCACACATACAGCCATTTTTCTCAAATTGCTGGGTCCAGGTCTTGAACCACTCATTTGGCCATTTGGGATCCAGCCACCTCAACTATCATGCAACCAGTTATCTTTATTGATGACTTATTTATATATTTTTCTGTTTTTAAAAGAAACTTTTGCCTGGACTAGCAGATAGTATAATGGTTTCTTCGCTGTACAACCATGACCGCAGTTCAGGTCCTGGACCTGGCAGCTTAAACTCATGCCGGGCATGTGTGCGTGTGTGTGCCCAGGATCCTGGGAGGAGAATGGCGGAGGAGGGATTGTGGCATGGCCATTCCCCCTGGGAGTAATTTCTCACTTTCAATTTCCCTGACTCTGGTAAACACATGTGCCCTATAGCAAACATCTCTCTCTTTCAAAAAATAAAAAATAAAAGAGAGAGAGAGAGAGAGAGAGAGAGAGAGAGAGAGGTTTTTGCCTTAGGGACAGTGAGAGGGACAGTGGAAATCACTCCCCTCCCAGGGGGCATGGCCACCTGCAATCCCTTGTCCTCCATTTTCCTCCTGGGATCTTGGGCATATACAAATATGCACCTGGCATGACTTTTGAGTCACCAGGTCCAGGATGCTATTTTTTATATTTTTGACATGCATGCTTGCCAGAGGGAGACACAGAGAGAGGGAAAGTGAGAAATCAGCCCCTGGGGTACCATGCAAAACCCCGTCTCCATTCTCTCAGGGTTGGGCATGCATGCACAGGTGCCCAGCATGCTCCTTACACCACCAGGTCTGGGACTCAAACCACACAGTGGCCTTGTGGGATCCAGTGCCTCAGCCACCACTCCATCTGCTGGCCCTGTTCTTAATGATTTTTCATCCTCTTCCAACCCATGAGGTCTACTGGGGCTAGCCCTTCTCATTCTGCCATTGTTTTTTGAGAAAACTTTATATTACGTGGTGGTAGTGATATTCAGAAGAAAACTGTACTAAAATGAATTTGCCCTTCCTAACAGCCAAACAGTTTTTGCCTTAACTCTGAGTAAGTGAATAATTCCTATTTGGCAGAGTAAGGGTGCAGTAGGGCAAGAATGTACCCAATTTTTAATGAAAGGGCTAGAAATCTTTCCATGAACCTGTGAGGGAGGCAAATTCCGTCAGGGTCAGAGGTTTGCCTAAAAGCTAAACGAGCTGCTTGAGAGGTTAGAACACGCAATGCATTGTGGACCTCAGTAACAGGCAGCTTCTAGTTCTCCGACCCACACAGGTGCATGGTAGCTATTTGCTAAACAGGTCAGGAAGCTGCAAGCAGGACGGACAGACCTGGACATTTGTTACCTGCTCAAAGGAGTTGGTTAGGGTTCCCGAACCTCAGGGTCAAAGGCAGGACTGGGGGAGGGAGAGAGAGAGAGATCATGAAGGAGAGAACACAGTAAAGTGGCCACAGAGGAGATGAGGGGGAGAGGCGAGCAGATGCCACGTGACAGGGCCACACTGTGGGACAGTGCAGATCCGACTGTGGTAAGGAAGAGAAAAGCCAGTAAGGACTGGACTAAAATGTGGGCTCTTATCTCCACTGGGGAGTCTTACAAAGCAAACAGTCTTCACTGAAACTGTGAATATCGGGAGGGTGGGCTGTGGGGCAGGGGGCTCTTGCACAGAGGGAGGCAGGTGGTCTCCGCTCCTCAGAGGGGACAGAGGAGCTCTCGCCCCCGAAGCTCTGTGGTGATCCCAAGTCAGCAGTGGGCATGATTCAGGTGGGTGGTCAGAATTCTGCCCAGGGATTAGTGAGCTGCTTGGGAAAACAGGAAACCGGGAATAGAGTACCACTTTTGGCCAGAAGGTGGCAAATGATGAATGGAAAAATACCATGTAGCCTTGACAAGCACAGAAGGAAATCTTTGTAGCTATAGAGGTTATTTAAAATGCATCGTGCAGTGAGGGCGCTCCATTCTGACAAGCCAGTTTCAATACCCTGGCTTATAAGTGGTTTGTTTATTTCTATATTCAAAAATCAGGTAATTTGTTTTCCTCTCTATATATAACAACATTGCTTTTTTATTTATTTATTTATTTATTTTTTATTAAAACCCGACAGGAGCCCAGCATTCCT